CATGAGACCATGAGGAAGTGGCTGAGTTTACTGGCCAAGTCACTGGGAAACCTTGTTCGTGACAGAACAGTGATTCTACTGCTGGATGTGAACCCATCGCATATACACCAATCCATTTTCGCACATGCCCGGCGATGTGGCATTCGACTGGTTTATGTGCCAGCAAAACTGACAGCCTACCTCCAACCCTGCGATACGCATGTGTTTGCCAAATTTAAACGTTCGTTCCGGGACATTTGGCGAGAACGGCGATCAAATTTGCCTGGTGGTGTTGTGACCGACCTTTGTTGGCTGGAAATAGTTTTTGAAGCTATTCAGACAGCGTTAGCCACGGCAAGTTGGCGGGGCGCGTTCCTATCCACGGGAATTCTAGAACAACAACGGCACGTTTCCAACCGCCTGCGTGGTGCTTTCGGGTTTGCTCGTGGTGTGGAGTTTGGAGACAATCCCTTGACCGCAGAGGAAGCTAGCGCCATCTTCCCTAAGCGCAGCAAAGCGGACCATCTTTCATATGTTCTGTGGCAACCCAAAAGCCACAGGCTCCAAAAAGAGCGTGGGCAAGTTAGGCCTGGCCCTGTCACCCCACCTAGTTCGCCCAAGCGGCGGAAGCTACCTCCAACCTTTGGAGCAGTGCCGCGCACCATTGATTGAAACTGCGGAGGGCCTGCTAACCCGTCCACTTTTCAACGTTCCTTTCATGGGACCAAAAATGGGTGCGCGCAGCACACTTCTTGGACATGTTTGCAGCAGAAGTCTTCCACTTAGAGGCAACAGCAGTTGACAGACACTGGTTTCCGCTGCCGCGGCGTGGGCTCAAAGCAATTTGTGGGAAGTTTTCCGGACTTAGGTTAAATTGTGGTGGCCCCAGCCTCTAGACAGGCGTGTGTCGGGCTGCAGCAACTGCAGTCTTGGACAGTTGACATGTGCGCAGTTGCAATGCAACTTGTCACTTCCACCCCAGTCTTTTGTCCACGTTCACCTAGTTTCGCAGGTCAAAGCTTTTAGCCGGCTGTAAAGCGCTGTATTTGACCAGTCCAATTGAAACTGCGCCAGTATTTTGCACAGTTCCCAAAGTGCAATGGGAGTGCTCTGGGAGCTATGTGGCCATGTTTTGTCACTTCTAATGGAGTAGCTGATTGTTAGCAAGCCAGTTGTTAGCAAGCCAAGCTACTGTTCCTCCATGTTTTGACATGGTGCAACGCTATTCACCCACATAGTTATGCGCCTTACACCTGTTTTAGGCGCCTCTAAAATTTGCAGTTTGGTGTGCAAACATGCTTGTCTCCAACTGAGTGTCCACATTGGTCATTTTTGTTCAGAACATCCTGCATGCGACCGTTTGGTCGTCCTGAAGAAGGTGAGCCACATTGTCCTTTCATGTGGCTATTTTGCCCTCAGACTTTTTTTGACATTTGGTTACGTAAACCGAATCAAACATACAGAATATGAGAATGTTAGAGTGCAAATATATGACCAATTGAAATATTTTGCGAACCGCGCCATCCTGAATTTGGAGACCCGCACTTGAACTTGACCATCTCGAATTCAGTGACCGCAGCCCAACTCGACCGCGGTATATGGCGAACTGCGGCATCCAGAACACAGAGACCCACCTTCGAACTTGACCAGTGACCACAGTCGAACCGGACCATTCCGCAATCAGCGGCTCACACCTTGACAGTTTTTGCGGCACATCTTTGGCTATTTGGCGTTCGATTTTTGTTGCCAGTGGCGACGTGCAACATGAATCAAAAATAGAGGACGAAGAACATGTTGTATATACATAGTATTATTTGGAAATATAATTTCTGACTGCACCATCCTCCCACATTCGAAGTTGGCCAGATCGAAGTGACCACAGGCGATTTCTTGTGTGCGCATGTGTGTGAGAAGAAAGGGTGCAAGGGACTGATCGTGTGAGTCGTTTGATTTTCTGAGTCGATCACGTTTGATTTTTCGTTGGAGTTCGCCTTCGTTTGGTTAAGGGCATCAGCCCGCGCTCCCTGTGCCTCGTGTAGAAGGAAGACGTTGGTAGGTAAAGCTTCGCCAAGGTGTTGTAGCTTCGCATGGCAGCGGCGCTTTTGGTCGACCGCAGTATTTGGCGAACTGCACCATCCCGAACTCAGAGACCCACACACGAATTTGACCACGTTGCACATAGTGACCACACGCGAACTCGACCATTCCGAAGTCAGCGGGCCACACCTTGGCCGTTTTTGCGGCGCATTTGGCTTGTTAAGGGCATCAGCCCGCGCTCCCTGTGCCTCGTGTAGTAGGAAGACGTTGGTAGGTAAAACTTCGCCAAGGTGTTGTAGCTTCGCACGGCAGCGGCGCTTTTGGTCGACCGCAGTATTTGGCGAACGGCACCATCCCGAACTCAGAGACCCACACTCGAATTTGACCACGTTGCACATAGTGACCACATGCGAACTCGACCATTCATTCCGAAGTCAGCGGACCACACCTTTGGCGACGTACAACACGAGCCAAAAAGAGTATGAAAAGTCCCTCCTGAGACTGACCGCGCCGCGCTGAAAAACTTTTGGTACGAGTCAGCAAGAACCGTTTCTGGCTGTCACTTGCTGCGTCCACGACGTTTTCACCAATGTATGACACATATTGCTTTGCGCGCAAAACATTCCACGTTTTCACCCGAGCAGACTGTGTGTTGCTGATTGCATGACTGATGGCAGCATCATTTTTTCCCGCATTCCTGCAAAACCATTGGCAGATGGAACCGAGTCAACTTTTGGGCCATCTCTCCGATTGTAGTCAGATTCGTCAGAAGCATGAGCGACAAAGAGGGGTGTATTGTTTTTTGGCAAAGCGGATTCGCTTGATTTTGCACGTTCCAATCAGATTGCACATGTGGAGGGTTGTTTGGAAGTTGATGTTTTTTGATATCACGAAAGCCAGCCGATAGGCAAGGCTTGAGCTCTTGGCGTGAACGAAGTGAGTTTAGGGGGTGGGGGTGGTCGCATGTGGCCCAATTTGGGGAGGGTGAGCCTGAGCGTGGTGAGGGAGACCGCTCAAAAACGAGGTCAGGAAAGCGTGGTCTGGTGATGCAGGGCCTGGAAAAAACTTTGTGGTTTGCTCTCCTAGCTTGGGCCCAAGAGCCGTGTGGCCTCAACAATGCTCGCCTCCGTTTG